GGGAGTTGAATACAGCAGTTATTAATTTAACTTTTTTTTTCTTTGCTTTTTTTAGGGGAGTTGGCTTGTTTTGTTTTGTTTTATTTTTTTGCTTGCTGTTTGTTTGTTTGTTTGTTTGTTTATTGTCTTAATTTGTGTACACCCCCCGGGGCGGTGCCACTGACTGAAGTATCTTTAGGCCATTCCCAAAGGGGGGGACATTTCTCGTTCATGCACAGTAAAATTGTAAATGGGCTGACTCAATGATGTCATGCTCATAACTGTGCCTGATCTACGACAGGGAACTGCTGTTTTTTCTTTCCTAATCCTTACTGTTGTTATTTTTCCTCTACTTCTTTTGTATACTTGTCGCTCTCTTGTGACCCGCTATTTCCGGGGTGCCTTGAAAGTCGAAACAGACTTTGTGCTGTTGAAGCTACAGAGGTGAGCAGAGTAAGCCTGATTCCCTGTAAAGACTTCTCTGTTGACATCCACCCCTTGGCGCTCATATGACCTTATGCAGTTGCGAGTGCCGTAAAACCTCTACTAAATAAAAATAATAATTTCTGTACTTCTGTTTTGCAGTCATCATCAAGTCTTCAGCCCCTGCACGTGAGTACAGACGGGACCCTCCAGAACTCTCACAGCGTGTATGCGAACCACCACACAGCCAACGTACACACAGGCTCTGACTTGACCTTGGGCCACCTGCGAGCAGCGGACGGGACCTTGAAACAAAGCAATAACAACAACAACAACAATAATAATGTTAATAATAACAATGTGAACAACAACAACAACGTTAACAACAACAACAACACGTACAGTTGTATAGACAAAAACCACATGTACTTCGCCCCCCACAGCCCATTCCACATATTGGATTCTCCGACAACGCCGTCCGACTTGGATAACGGGGGCGGGCGTCTACAGCAGCAACGCAAGATCGCAATGAGCGCTGGTGATGGTGATTTTGGTGGCGGTGGTGGTGGCAGCAATGGTAGCAACCACTTTCAGAGTCAGGGTCAGGGAGGAGGAGGAGGAGGTATGGGTGATGGAAAGGTATCCAGTTTTCCGAGCAATCAGCTGGGAGTGTCTTCGCAGTTACAAAGCAGTGGTCTTTCTCCCGCTGCACGGATGTCTAGTCCTGGGAATATAGACTCGAACACGCTCGCTGCTGCTATCCTTCAAGAAAGGCTGAACAACCAACAGTTGCAGCAACAACAGCAGCAGCAACAACAACAGCAGCAGCAGCAGCAACAACAACATCACCACCACCAGCAGCAGCAGCAGCAAAAGCTTCAGCAGCTGCAGCTGCAACAGCAACAGCAGCTTCTCGCAAACCATTTACAACAACAGGTCCGCTTCCATCAACAACAACAACAACAACAACAGCAGCAACAACAACAACAACAACAGCAGCAACAGCAGCAGTTAAAGCAGGGTGGACTGAGGAAACAGTTCTTGCCCGAGCAGATACTGCAACTGGGCGGAGGACTTCCCCTGCCAGCCATGGTCAACTCTGGAGCGGTCAATTTCACCCCGGGACCTAACCCTTTCTTTGTCAGCTCTCCAGGTAAGAAGATCACAAGGGTTCATATCCAGTGTGCAGAAGCATTTATGCGGCATCGTGGTGAAATTAGGCGCTTGTCCAAATTAATAATGAGACCGAAGATACATTTGTCCACCTGTTTGGCAATTTTTATCAACTTTTTGGGGAGGGTGTGTGTGTTTGTGTCTATATGTGTGCATGTGTGCATACAAGTAAAAATCCTACTTGAACTAAAACTGTCTTCAACTCATTTACCGAGGCCAGACAATGAAATACTTCAGCCTTATTTTATATGGGCTCTTTTTTGACTCATTAGAATAACATTTAAATGTTTGGGTTGTTTTTGTCTCTAAATGGATGGCTGGCGGGTGCTCTGGTGTGGTTTGCTCCTTCTTTCCCATCAAATATCTATCGTCCTTATCTCGCCTCCCTCTTTTTTTTGTCTGTTACTCTCTTCTAACCCATCTAATAATCGCCTCTTATAATATGACCTTATTGTGCTGCAAGTGCCATCAAACTCTCACTGAGACAAAGAAACTCTCCTCTTTCTTTTCTTTGTATGCCACTCTCTAGTATCATCTCTAACCTTCAAAGCTCAAATGACCTACTTGAGTTGCAAGTGCCTTAAAAGTTTTACTAAAACTAAACAATGTCTACAACACCCACCCCCCACCCCTCTCTAGCTCCCATGATCCCGGCCCATGCAGGCATTAACAGGTTCGCTCCAGGGGTCAACGGAGCGGTCAGTATGCTCAACACAATGCAGGCCCGGCCGAACATACCACATCATCTGAACTTTGGAGCCAGTAAGTCACACAAATATTGTAGGTCTTTGAGGCCAGTAGTTTCCATCTTTCATATATTTCTTGTTTTGTTTAGTTTTCATTTTGTAAATCTCTCTCTATGTCCCTTCCCCCTCTCCCCTCACCGTCTCTCTCTCTCTCTCTCTCTCTCTCTCTCTCTCTCTCTCTCTCTCTCTCTTTCTCTCTCTCTCTCTCTTTCTCTCTCTCTCTCTCTCTCTCTTTCTCCTTCTCTCTCTCTCTCTCTCTCTCTTTCTTTCTCTCTCTCTCTTTCACAAACCTTACCTATAAAGTTCATGTATCTGTTTGTATCCATTGTACTAAAATCCGAGGATTCACTTATTTCACCAGCACACCTCACATTTACTTATTAATAATAACAGTAATAAATGACATTTATATAGCGCTCAAACCCAATTAAAGTACACGGGCTCTGAGCACTTCTTATAATACCATCAGGACAAAACTTGAACCTTCCCCCTGGTGTGAACCCCCACCTGGGCTCGGGCATGACCTCTGACCCCACGGGTGTGGGCGAGGCCAACAAGCTAGGGGGAGCAGGGGACAAGCAGCGGCTGATTGAAGAAATGTTGCTACGGGACCCGCGGACCCAGGCTGTCTACCATCAGCTGTTGCAGCAAGCACTCATGCAGTACCCAGGAGGTCAGTAATAATTATAATAATAATTAATAAATTGCATTTATATAGCGCTTTTTCACGAAGAAGTGCTCAATGGGCTGTACTATAATACAAAGAACATATGCAGCGCACAGCTCCTATAGTATTCCTCTTTCACTTTCACTCTCTCTCTCACTCTCTCTTTGTCTCAGTCTCTCTCTCTCCCTCTCTCTCCCTCTCTCTCCCTCTCTCTCTCTCTCTCTCTCTCTCTCTACCTCTCTCTCCAGTACATCCTTGAGTAAAGACAATCCCACAAAACTTACCCAGACACCCTCGTATACATTGATGACATCACACAGTCATAAATTATTACAGAACAGAACAGCATGAATTAACGATACTGAGAGAACGTAGTAGATACTGAGAAAACATAATAATATTTGTATTGGGAATGTCAGAAACTACAGATTGAAGCTGGACTAAAACAAATGTGTTTTAAGAGCTCATTTTAATTTTGTAAAGGTGGTAGACTCTCGTAGATGAGCTGGTAAAGCGTTCCAAAGGGAGGGGGCGTGGTGTGAAAAAGCTCAACCTCCGAGTCTCTGACCTTTGCTTTGGACAGGTCTCAAAAGTCTTTTCTTCCATGATCTTAATTATTATTATCATTACTATTATTATTACTACTGATATTATTATATTTATCATTATTATTATAATTTTGTTACTAATAATTTTATTATTATTATTATTATTTTATTCTCTGGTCCCAGGTTATCAAGCAGCTCTGATCAACGCCATGCACTCCAACCCTCTGATGCTGAATGCTGTGCACGCCGCTGCTCCCACCGCACTGCTCAATCCAACGGTGCACGGTGCTGGGATGCGTCGCGACGGGGTGGAGTTCGTACCCGTGGAGGCTATGGGCCGGATGACTCACTCACCGTACATCGGTGACGTACTCTACGACCCCACCAGCTACCCCTTCCTCGGAGTGCATCCTCTGATTCCTAACATGCGACATTTCAGGCAAGTTGTATATTCTATGAGATGTCTTATCTCAGTTGTTAAGTGGGTGGTTGAAGGACCCTACTGGTAGATCCTACTTAATCTTTACTTTCCCCTCTGTTGTTTCTGTCTGTCTGTCTGTCTTACTTTTTCCCATTTTTCCTAGCTTTAAATGACCATTATTGTGTCGATGTGCTTCTCTTTACTCAAACAAACAAATCAATCGTTAAACTATCTATCACAGTGAGGAGTGATTGGTTGGTTGAAGGGTGCTCTGGTGTGGTTTGTTCCTTCTTTCCTATCAAACATCTTTTTCTCAAGTAATTCTTTGTACTTAAATGTTGCTTCTTTTTTCCTATCAAACATCTATCGTTCATATCTATCTCTCCTTCGTATGTTATTCTCTAGTAACACCTCTAATCTTTTTGCATTTATATATAATATGACCTAACTGTGTTGCAAGTACCGTAAAACTTTTACTAGAACTAAAAAATCAAAGTGAGGTTTGCTTGAGTCATGTTGAAGAACATTATCCCTTTTGGATTCGGTCTGGTATTATGATAAAGTTGTTTTGAAGTGTGACTAGTCCTTTCACTTCATTTTGCCTTTAAGTGACTAAGGTAAGGCAGGCTGACAAATTGGTTACATTTCAGATTTCGGCCCAATAGATATAGATTTGTCATTTTATAGGAGAGTTTGAACACTTCATTTGTGTGAAATGATTAAGGTATGTTAAAGTAATACTTTAAGAAAGTGGCATCCGTTGAAAATATACAAATTCAGCCCCTGCTTTGATTTTCATCTGATGTCTAAAAACGTGGATTGCAAGAAGTAACTCATTTTGCCAGCTTGTCTCTCAAATACTGTATTACAACTGCCATCGTTTTAAAAAGTGCAGTGTATGCAGTCTTTAGCTTTACATTTTTCCAGGAGAGCTAAAAAAAAATGAATGTTGTTACCAAGAAAACAACATTTCTTTCAAAGATAATAAGCAAGTTATTATCGAAATTGTATTCTTAAAAATATTAACTTGGGATGTTTGTAAAGAGTTTGTTTTCTTGGTCACAACCTTCAGTTTTTTGCTCTCCTGTACAACTGTAGAAACTGCATGTACTACACGTGGGCTCCAGTGGCTAAGTTAGTAGTGAGTTTAGGCTCAAGTAATGTCAAGCAAGTGTCGGTGACACGGGGATCAGATGGGTGGTCACTGGGGTGTGTCCTTGAGAAAGACCCGACAACCCTAGCTAAAAAATACAGGGCGCTGCACAGTGGCAACTGACAGTGGCATGATTGTAAACTGTTGTGTATAAAATTTGTGTAATATTGTGTATTTATGTATGTATTTATGCATATATTTATGTATGTACGTATTTATAATTATGTATTTATGTATGTATGTATTTATAATGATGTATTTATGTATGTATATGTATGTTTGCCATTGTAAACCAATGTGCCCTTCCGGGACAAATAAGAGTCATTTATTTCTTTATTATTGTATTTATACTGTACTCTTTAAAAACGCTGGCAGACAAGTTGTGACATGTCGTCCATTTATTTCCAGGAGTGGTCCATCTAATGAGCTTCACACCCGACTGGAGGAATGTTACGAGCAGTTCAAGGCTGTAGAGAAGGAGAGGAAAAAGGTAACAGCTCCTCTCAGGGTTTACGGGAGTGGTCTGGATAAAGTGTTTCTTGCTGTAGATGTGCATGTCTATGATTGTACTTGATATCTCTAATTCGTAATCAGCTTCTGAGTCTTCTCTGTCCTGTTTATTGTTCTTTTTTTCTTTCTTCTCCATCTCCTCCTCCTCGTCTTCCTTCTCTTTTTGTCAAGAAATTCTATATTTCATATCCTCATTAATTGTGTAAGTGGTTTTGGCGTGTGGGGTTTTTTGGGGGGGAGGGATGGTAGTGAAATGATGCTCTTGTCCCTCTGTTGTTGTTTGTTCATACTTGGGGTCTTTTAATAGTTGTAAAGAGCATAGAGCATACTGCAGAGCGTGGGTGGATAATGCACTATATGAATGCAATTATTATTTTTAAGTTACAAGTATAATCCTTAATATTTTTCTGTCTCCAGACGGAGGCTGAGTTAGCACGACAAAATCCTGGGAAGAAAGTGTCCAGCACCAACTCCATCCCCATCCCTCGGCTGCCATCCAACCCTTCACGGGTGGATAGACTCATTGTGGATTCCTTCCGGGAGCATGCTCGGGTCAGTTTTGTTTTGGTCATGCCCGTGTTTTTGTTTTGGCAGCATCAATATTGTTTTTGTCATGCCCATGTTTTTGTGTTTGCAGCATAAATATTGTTTTGGTCAGGCCCATGTTTTTATTTTGGCAGTATCAATATTGCTTTGGTTATGCCCGTGTCTTTGTTTTGATGGCAGCAGCAAACTTGCCAACTATTCCAAATTTCCCAGGACTGTTCCGAATTCATCAATAGGAAATCCGAAAAGCCATAACATACGGTCCACCAAAAACCAGTCCCCCTTGATGTTATTTTGTTTGTTGTAACATAATCTGATGTTTTAACTATGGGTTTCCCTGATTGGGATTTGAAAAAGTTGGCAAGCCTGCAGCATCAGTTTTGTTTTGGTCATTCCAATGTTTGTTTTAGTGATGCCATTTCTATTATACCCTTATGGTGGGTGATTGGTGGGTGCAGCAGTGTAGCTTGCTCCATAATCTTTCCTATCAAACATCTATCATCCTGATTTCTCCTCCTTCTTTTATGTATTTGTTGCTCTCTTGTAACACTTTTAATCTCTTTGTACCATTATCTCTCTAATTCAATCTTTGTACTAGGTGGCCCTCACCTGCTTCAGTTGCAAATATCTCGACTTCTATTTAATTTGGATGGTCATTTTTTTCACCTAAAGCGAGACAAATGAACAAGGTTTATGATGATACCAACAACTTTTTTCTCACTTCAATGCTTATTTGTCATTCATTTGTCTACTATTTTGTTCCATTTACTGACAAAATCTTTCAAAACACTTAAGATTCATCTGCAATATTAATTTAATTCTTGACTTTACAGCCCAAAAATTGATGAGCTCCTGATTCCACAGTGTCTTGACGCATTTATTATTATTTTTATTTATACATATGTTTGCTGTTTCATATACAGATCATTACACTGGTAGAAAAGATGGAGAAACTGCGCAGCATCAGTGTCCATGCTAACGTCCACTCCACTCTGGACCTGTGGTTAGAGAGTATCAAACGTGTACAGGCCAGTCGTAAAGACGAGATCGTCAACTCAGCCAATCGGCAGCGAGCAGGGGTTCCCAGGCAGCCCGATGATAAAGGTATGCTGTTTTAGTAAGAGTTTTACGGCACTTGCAACACAAATAGGTCATATAAATGCCGAAGATTAGAGGTGTTACTAGATAATAACATACAAAGAATAGAGGGATAATAGATGTTTGATAGGAAAGAAAAAGGAAACCACGTCAGAGCACCTGCCAATGACCCACCGGATATTTTGTTGTGTGCGACCATTGCAACTAGGTGGGCTAGTTGATCAAGAAATATGAGTGCTGAATATGCAAGCTAGAAGTCATGGGCTCTCTTCTGGCACTCTGAGAAATAGCCTGTGGAATCTAGCAGTGGTTATATGAGTCTTAAGTAGTTATAGCATTATATTCTTTGCTATTTTGATAGCTGCTCTTTCAACAGAAACAAGCTGAGGAAGGAACTCGAAAACTACACTGTAGTGTAAGTGTAAGAGGCCAACTTCTAGATAACATCCGTGCCATTTACGAGAACACCATAAGTGCAGTAGGAACGTCAGAGGGACTCACAGAATGGTGCGAGATAACATCCAGAGTAAGGCAAGGTTGTGTCTTATCACCACTACTGTTTATCATATATATGGATAGAATTACAAAAGAGGCCAACACAGAACCAGACGCCCTAAATGAATTACTCTTTACTGATGACCAAAGCCTGGCACACAAAGATGAACGAAGTTTCCAACACCACACCACCAGATTAAACGAGGAATGTAACAACTACGACATGAAGATCAACATCAACAAAACAGAGAAAATGAAAGTAAACAGAAAGCCAGAACCTCTCAGGATACACATCAACAACAACAGTCTCAGACAGGTCCAAGAATTTAAGTACCTCGGAAGTATATTCACAGAGGATGGGCGACTGAACAGAGAAATTAAAACACGAGTACAAAAGGCCAATAATGTTAGTTACTAGCTTACTCCACTACTGAAACATCCTAACATCCCCATGACCAGAGCTGTTAAAGTACTTTTAAAAAGGTACTTAAGTACAAATTTAAGTACAATCTAAAATATGTACTTAAGTACAGTAAAAGTACTTTCCTGTAAAATGTACTTGAGTACAAGTACTTTTTTAAAAAGTACTTATGAGTACATTTTGAGTACTTTCTGCTAATATGCTAAAAACTTCAGTGCTAATGCAAAACATCATATTGAATAACATATCTAGTATATTTTTAAAATTCGGCCATTTATTACTAATAATGTAAACAGTATACAAAGCATTTGAATATACGCACTGAATGTAGGTGGAAATTATCCGTGAAATTGAAAAAAAAACCCAGCAAACAAACAGACGCAACTAGTGAGCAAGTGATATTATGAATAGAATTTGTTTGAGCAAGACAATATGAACAAATGTAAGTCAGTCCAAGAGGTCGGAAAGTAGGAAAAGTATCAAAATTGCAAAATGTAGAGACAAAGTTGATCTAAGAAAATAAAAAAATTGATGAAAATGGACAGCAAAAAAAAAGTGCTTTGAATTCTTCTTTAACAAATCCTCAAGGAATCAAGGTAGCCTTAAGCACAAACCACAAAAAAAAAAGGAAAAAAGAAATTTAGGTAGCCTAAAAAATTGTTAGATTGATATACATCGAGAACTCAGTTTCAGTTTCAATTGATTATAATAGTGGTAAGACAGATTTTGGTCACACTGTGTAGTCCACGGTGCCCACGGCAAACCAAAATATGCCTACATGTAATTTCCTAGAGTCTAGTAAGTGTAGTGTAACCAAAAATTCTCTACTACAGTAGTCTCCGCCTAAGATCCCAGTGCTCGGGAGCAAGGGAAATACGGGATCTTAGCCCGACGAAGCTAAGGAAGAATCTACAGTGACCTAAGAACTGACGTGACCCCTGGGTAGGTTTATGACATATATGGCGAGCTAAGAGTGGTCATCCTTGATGACCAATCACAGTAGCATGGTGGCATGAGGCAAGCCATAATATTATACCGTACACTCATTAGCATATCGTCTCGAGATATTTATCTACGTTTATCCAGTTGCCCCTCCCCTTTACCTGTCCAAAAACTGTAGCCTTCCATCTCTGATTGAGTCCCCCCCGCCTTTGTCGTTACGTACCATTACGCTGTGACCAAACCAATTAAAATTCAGGCTGTCTCGCAATTTCGGGAATAGAGAAAAACTGCCTTCAACTTCAATGGTCAGGGAAGAGTTCACAGTTCATGTGATCCTGCCTGGAGCGAACTTGTAGGCCCAACCCACCCAGCGAGGGATGAAAGTTCAGGTGGCGAGCTCAGATGTGAGTGCGATGTTTGGGGAAAAGAAACGCCCATCGGTCAGTTCACACCTCGGTGTGATCCCGTCTGGGGATCATTGTACCGTTTCATGGAGTTTTACAGCGCATGTGATCACTTTCACAAGAGTGGCTGATCTTTGACGCGACGGACAGTTCTTTAATCTCAACTTTTAACTTTTGGTTGATCGGCTGTGCCCGCCCGGGTGTTTGTTCCGTAAATTATGATCGGAAATGTCGGCACTTATTCTTTCATTAAGCTTCAAAAGTACTCAAAATGTACTTGAAAAGTACTCAAAAGTACTTTTATAAAAAGTATCGGAGTACAGTAAAAGTACTGGTTCTCAAAATGTACCGGAGTACAGTAAAAGTACCGAAAATTGTAACGTAAGTACAAGTACCGGAGTACTTGTTCTCCGGTACAACCAGCTCTGCCCATGACAACAAAACTCAAAATGATCAACACCATATTCATCCCAACACTCACCTATCAATGCCAAACATAGACCACGAGCAAGACATTAGGGCAAAGAATTACAACATGTGAAATGCGATGCCTTAGAAAAGCAGTAAACAAGACCAGGCGAGACAAAATTAGAAACTCTGTAATCCGTAAAATGGTGGGCACAAATGAAGTCATGCGTCACATCCAACACCAAAGAATCAAATGGTTCGGACATCTTCTACGATTACCAACACACCATCCAGCACAATGTGCCTACATCCAAAAATTCGATGGCAACAAGGCTAGAGGGCGACCGAGAAAGACCAGGATAGATGGAGTCAGGGAAACATTAACCACCCACGGCATCCCCCTGACCCAAGCTCTCCGGCTGGCGACAGAGAGACGTCTCTTTCTTCCCGTGACACCCAAAAGGGTATAAGCGGCGGATAAAAGTAAAGTAAAGTAAAAAGCTCTTTCATGTCACTGTGAGCAAAACTGTTAACTGAGACAGGGCGATTTCTGAGGAGTAGATGTGAAGGGTTAATATGTATATTATGTGAGGTGTGCTGACAAAATGAGTTACTTTTCGCAATCCGCGGATAGAGAATAGACACATCAAATTTGTAGATTTTTAACTGATGTCATTTTCTTCAAATCAAACGTGTCTTTATCATTTCATATATAAATTGTATCAATAAAACTGATAAATTTGATGAATCTATCTGAGTTGGCAGGGATAAAATCCAAGAATTCACTCATTCAGTACTACAGACGAGAATACTCGCAAAACCTGGGCCCCGTCCACATACTAGCGACGAGTATTTTCGCATTCTGCCTCGCTATCTTTATAGAGAGAATTACTTTATCTACTACATGCCAAATTATTTGAACCTATCGTGATGCATTATGGGAAAGGTCAAGGAGACATTTTTTTCTGCTTGAACAGCCATTGAGCCCGCTAGATCTAGGGTTATCTTCCTGGGTAGACCTAATTTCATGTTGCCATAACAAAACTGCCCAGTATATGAGGGAAGTTCACTGCTGGAGCGATCAGCACTGAATGGGTTAACTCATTTCGTCAGCACACCTCACACATATATATAAATATGCGTATAATCCAGCAGCATTTGTCCACTACTATCTGTGTTTGTAGAGATAAAATCCGAGAATTAACTCATTTTGTCAGCACTCCTCACATATATATATAAGTATGTATATAATCCAGCAGCATTTGTCCACTCCACAGATGTGACAGCTCTGGCGGCCAGTATCGGTCACTTGTGTGTTCACACCCGGCTGGCCCGCACGGCCCAGTGGGCAGCCCTGCAGATGGCCGACAAGGAGAACCCGAAACTGACCAGCCACAGCGAAGTGGAGCTCACAGACCCTGTGGACTTGACCCCGTACATTCAGCCGTCTGCTGCAGAAGCTGCTAGCGCCACCACTCCCAGCGCCACTACCACGGCAGCAGCAGCAGCAGACGGGAACAGTGACAGTAAAAAGGATGATACGAAAGTCACGACAGAGCCGGCCAGTAAAGCGGAGGAAGACAAAGGGGATGGAGAAATCATCGAAGAACAGACTCCTCCATCTTCTGGGAAGGGAGATTCGAACTGTAATCCCCCCCAGCAGTCAAGCGGTGCGGAGAAGGTCAGCATTGTTTCTGCAGCTACCCAGTACACGCCCAAAATTCTGAAGCGAAGATAATAAAAACTTGTTGACCGTGTGTGTGTGTGGAGTAGTTGGTGTATTTCACACCGTTTCTGCCATGTCAGCGCCAAATGTCTTTTCATAGTTGTTGCGTTTCCATAGATGCTTGTATGGTGGGGTGTAGTCTGAATATGTCCACATTGTCAGCCCTGAAAATGTGTCCTCGACCCTTATGATGTCACAGAGAAGCAATGACCATGTGATGAACTAAATAATCATTTCCTCCCAAAGGTCAGCAAAAGCCTATGGGGTCATGCTTGTTTTGTCATGTGCCATGATGTGCTATAATTAGCAGGCTGTGATTTTTGTGTGTGTGATGAAGAGGCTTGTTCTTTTTTACTGGGACTGCTCTGTAACCATAGACATATGTCTCGTAAATGAAGCTGGGAGAAATGACCTGATATCTCTCCATAAGACTTGTGTTATGTGAAGTTTAAAGTCTCGTGAATTAAGCTGGAAGAAATTGGCCAATATCAGTGATAAGACTTGCGTTCTGTGAAGACTTACGTCTTGTAAATTTAGCTAAGAAATATTACCCGATATCTCTGATAAGACTTGTGTTCTGTGAAGTTTAAAGTCTCATAAATTAAGCTGAGAAAAATTAACCGATATCAATGATAAGACTTATGTTCTGTGTATTGTACAACTACAAGACATTGAAGTATTCCATTTTTCCTGAAATTTTAGGAGTTTTAGAACAAACAAAACAAAAAACAACTCTCAACCAGAATATGAAGAGCTGCATCTTGCGATAAAGTGCCATGACAAAACTGTTTTTGTTTGTACCAAGATGCAAATTTTATGTATATTTGAAACAGAAGGATTAAAACTATCCCAACAACAAAATCTGATTATAAAAAAGAATTTAATTAATATTGCAAGTAAAACTTATCTGTTGTGAGAGATTTTGTCTGTAGATGAAACTAAACATGAAACAGGAGACTAATGACAAAATTAGATAAGCATTGAAGAAAGAAAAATGAGGACGGTTGTAAGATTTTTATTAGCAAAGATATACACTGTTACCTCATCGTACAGCCATCCTTTCTAGTACTAAAATACACCTGTAATCTGACAAAAGTATACGGCACAAAAAGACACTCACTGTGGCTACTGCTACTCATCACACTTGTTATTGGTGGAGGAATCATCAGGCTTATCTCACCACATCAAGTGATACATACACTTTTTTGGAGTTGCAGCGCGTGCTGATCTTCAAGGGACATGTGATATAGTGTGGCTAGTTCTGAACAAGCTGTGGATTGTATTTTCTGTCCAGCTATGAAGCTGCAGATACAAGAATAGAAACGAAAAGCGTTATATAGAAGTTCGCATTTATAAGACATTTTGCTGCGCCCAAAGACTTTTTTCCATCATGCACTAGTCGATATATGATGCCAGAAGTCATTTGTCTTCAGCAATACACGTGGTGATTTTCCAAAACATGACTGTCCAAGATATGGTCTGAAAGATGAATATCTATGACATTATATATGCATATGTTATATAAAATATTTATTATCTCAAGGTTTTTTGCTGATACCAGCTGTGGCCCGATCACCTGAGTAAGAAAATGATAGCCACCTCTTGCATTGCACTGTCTTGTGTACTTATCAAAGTCTTTAACCATCTCGAGATTTGTTTTGATGACAAAAGTACCATACTTAACAGCTGCTTTTCTTTTTAACTTCATTTTATGACAGACAAATACCTAGATGTGTGATGGCAAAGACATATCATTGATCTTGGATGTAGCTGGTCTTGGAAAACATTCAATCAGCTCTTCATGATTTAGTGAAAGAAGCTTGTAGGGTTTTAGAGTTGAGATAAACAGAAACCCTCTTAGCTGTTTTGTACAGTAGTTTTTGTTTTTAGAAATATTGGCAAGCCTTTGCCTTTATTTACAAAGTTTAGTTGCCTGTGATGGTACTGTAGTTCGAGAGACAGTTAGATAGGACAAAATTCCTGGCTTGCCCCAGTAAAGAATGAAAGTTGTGGACAGTAGGAAGTTTGTGAGCTGGCAGAGAGCTAGAAAGTTTGCTTTGCTTTTGTTTTCCTTTTGTGGGGGTTTTTTTTAGAGCCTGAAAGTTTAGTTGACATTCACTGTTTTCTACTTGTCTTCGACTGTTATTTCTCCATTGCTTTGTTGTTGGCTTCAAGTGAGCACAGTTCTGAACACACGAAGAGAAATTGGTGAGAACAGGGACCAGATTTTTATCTTGTGTTTTGTTTTTACACTTTGGAGGTATTGGGAAGGGTTGAGATGGTGATGGAGACATTGCTTGCTTTTTTACCATTGTTTTCTTTTGCTTTTTTGTTGGGTTTTTTGTGTTTTTTTGTTTTGGCTTTTTCAATTTTCAAAAGCTGCGCGATCATTTGTTGAGCAACAGTTTGTGTTGTGTAGTGTGCAGGTGTTTATTCTATTTAGGCATGGATGGCCATTAGGTTGTGGGTTCGAATCTCATCAAGGGCCCAACGTTTAGTCCTTAGTAAAAAGGCCCTTTACACAAACTTTCCTCACTTCACCCAGATGGGAATGGCTGCCCAGCTTATAGATAGCAACAGATCTTGTCAGTTTGTTTATGTTTGAGCACGTGCAATCCGCAGCTTGCACTGTATGCTATCCGGGAAGCCGAGTATGTTTCTGAGTGCTCCAGGGTCTGCTAGGGTTATAATAGTTGTAAAACGCATAGAGCAAGCTGTAGAGCAAGGATATGGGCTTTGTAAATGCAATTAGTAGTAATAGTAGTAGTAGTATTCTTTTTTTCAATTGTTATCATTGTTATTTATTATTATTTCTTTTGTTCTGTACATGTGCTCAGCACGTGTGCTGTTTCTGATGGCTTTGTGGTTGACACAGCCACTGATACATTTGGGAGGTGGGATGCTCTTACATGTACAGAGAACTGATACAATTGTGTCCCTGTTTTTTTTTACTTTGACACAAAATATACTGAGGTAGACCGTCAGCATCTGAGGTGTTGTGTAGTAGTGGAAAGTTAGGCTCTTAGCTCATCTTCTCAAAAGACTTGAGTTTGATTTCATCGTGGGAAAGATATTGTATTATAATGTGTTCCCATCTGTTGCAGTGGTTAGTATCCTGGTATCCTGCACAGCCCATGTTGGCTTTGATTGAGAAGCAGGGCTGTTAACAGCTCAAGGCTCATCTCCCAAATAATCTATCCTGTATCAACATTTGATACCTTTTTATGAAGTTAGGCAGCATTTCACTCGATGAACTCTGAGGATGATGGGACCTTGGTGCATTGGATAGTCCAAATTCTGTAGATAGTGTCCAAATTATGCTCATGTTGTGCCCAAGCAAAGTGTTGCATTGTCAAAACTGAGACTTGAGATAAAGGTTTTTGAGAACAGTGCCAGGGATGACTGGTGACCGTATTAAACTATGAGTGCGCTGACTTAAGCTGTATGTAAAATGGCTTCGGAGTATGTAGCATGAGTAGTCTAGTGGTAAGAATAGTACTACCGGACTCGTAATCATGAATTTTCCTCACTTCACCCAAGTGTGAATTAGTACCCAGCCAGAGACAGCGGAAGATCTTGTCAGTATGTTAGTGTTTTAACACCTGTAAAATGGCAGCTTGCACTGTATGCTTCCGGGAAAAATTAGATTGTTTCAGAATGCTGTCAAGTCTGCTGAGGTAATAGTATAGATTGTACAGCACCGAAGAGCTTGCTGTTCTGTGGGAATTTACGCTATACAAATGCTTTTTATTATTTATAAAATTGATAATTAAGTGTTGAGGATGCAAGTTTTTGTAGAACAAAGTAACACTCTGATATGATTAATGTGGCTTCCCAGGCAGACAACTTCCTAAATATGGGTCAACAATGTTAGATTGGAATTATAGTTAGATGTGGTCTACACTGTTATATTTTCTTGTTCTTGTTGTTTGTTTTTGTTTTTGTTTTAAATAGTAGGGTTTTTTTAGGTAGTGTTCAGGTAGTAGGCTTTTTGGGGGGTGGGGGTATTTGGACACTTGGTCTCATGTCAAAGTCAGCTGATGTTACTAAACAGTTCATTACTTGGCTTAAAACACTGCACACTACTAATGAGAGGAGAGAGTCATAGTATCGCACTTGATTGAACTCTGACTGCACCTTCCATAAAATTGACGGTCATGGTGTAGTCATTTGTATATTTGTTGCCATTTTATTATGTGATTGTTAAGATATGTGAAGCACATATTATGTAAATATTCCGGAAGCTGTCTCATGTGAGCCAAGCGCTGTGATGAAGAAGGTAGTATTTACTTCACGGGAGCTAGACAAACTTCAGTCTAGCTCACCAGTAAAGATGTAAGTCTTTACGTTTTTAATTTTTACTCGAGAAAGTTTGTTTTTGTATATATTTATTTAATTAAGTTTCAGTTTTTTTCTTGGTTGTGATGGTCTGAAAGAGTTATTTTCATCTTTTAATTAAGTCGAGTGACAGAGAAAGGTCAGGATCATGTAGCTTTTTTTTTTAGAGTATCCGAGCAAAGGAATAAGTGGAGAGCCATGATTGTCGATGTCTGTCGCAGATCTGGCATTTGATGATGATGATGATGATTACTTTTGTGCAGTAGTTCATAGTTGGAGCTTTTGAGGGATTAAACAATTGAGGGTTTTTTGTTGGGAGAAAAAAAAATCTTGTGACACACAGTGTTGTTGCTTCTCAAGTTCTGATGGTATAATGACTTAATGTACTTGGGAACAGATTACCATCTGAAAACAAATCAAAATGACACACATTTCATGAACAATTAGCGACAAATTTTTAAACTTTGGCTAGTTTATTATAATTGCGTGTCACATGCTCAGTGTCAGACTCCGCAGTCATACATCTCTTTTCAAATTGGCGTATGGCGGAGTTTTACACTCAGCAGTTGATGTCGATCTAAATCCAGAACGTATAGATTGACACATGAACATAGAAAAGCAAAATGATATTAAAGCAAATTTCTAGTTGTTTGATGACATAATCAGTAACTGCTTGATGGTGACAGAGAATTGTACTTGGCTTTACAATGTGAAACCTCTAGTTTATGATCTGTTGGTGTCTGCATAGCTGGATGTGAAATGGGTTGGCCTGACAATGTTTACGGTGGGAGCAAATTTGTTTTACATGGCAATTTTGTCCCAAAGAGTGAAAGCATTTCACAGTAGTTTGTTTTCACTGGTACTGTAAGGAAACGTTATATTAAAAAGCTTTGCTTTTTCAAGAATTGACATTCCTTTTCCCAGAAATACCAACACAAATCTGTATGTCATCAACTGGTTTTGACAACTCGGAGATGTAACTAATGAAATGAAATTTTGCTACTTAGCCCTACCAGGATAAGCCTGCCAAAAATTTTGTTTAGTTTTTCTGTCTTGTTCAAGTATAATTAATGACCAGGACATTGCTGTCCTGACCGAAATTTTCCATTGTTTGTCATCAAAAATAGTTAGTGGCTCCGTTCTCTTGATCCCATCAGTAGCATTTATTTTAACACTCAAATAATAATATTCTTTTGAGAACAATGAGATTTTTTGTACTGATTCTTTGAGAGATTGCTCTTTATTTTTTTCCTTTTTTCACATAAACTTCCTGTGTCATTAAATCATACAAACTGTAGATCTCCTTTATTAAGGCAATCATATAAAGTTATTGCCATGATTTGTATTTCTAGATCCATTTTGTAGAGAACTTGAGATGAGTTATTACTAGTTTATTTTGTTTTCCCCTGTGACAGCAGTAATTTCTTTAGAATGACTTTAGAACACATGGATAGAGTGGCTTTTTGTTGTGTCTGTTTATGCATACATTCATGAACTTTTATCTAGATACCAACTTCCTTTGATCGTAGAATAGAGTTGGCATGAATGATGTTAGAAGCTTCGGCACTCAGGTTTGCTAGTTTTGCTTTTATGCTTATTGTACACAGCTTTGATGGCTTCTACCATTCCCATGCCTCTTAAAAGTAATTCTTCCCCAGTCTTGCTGGGTTGTTGTTGTTGTTGTTGTTGTTGTTGCTGTTATTGTTGTTGTTGTTGTTGTTTCAGATTTGTGCACCATTTTGCTATGTGTTGAGCCTTTGCTCTTGTTACCATGCCGCGTTGATCGCTGACCAACTGGTAGCCCATTATGCATATCGCAAGTTATTGCAAAGATCTCTTTATTCTCTGCGTGTATTGAGACAATGTGATGTATTTTTAAAAGAAAAAAACAACGCTATTTTTGTCTGAGTGGATATTTGAATATATATTTTGTTTGGTTTGCTCTGTACATAGCCAGCTCAATCCTGTTGCCATGCTTGCTGATTCACAAAATGGTCTTTCTGCGCACCGTGTGTTCTTGCTACAAGGGAATTTGTCGGCATTTCCTGAAGCTGTTTCCGTCTGCTTCAGTCTTTTATTATAATAATATATGTTCAGCAAGTGATTTGGATCTGAAAATGTTGCACAAAATTTAGATGTGTATACACCGGTACCTCCGCTTCTAGAGTGATGTGTGTTGTGAGTATTGTTGTCCCTTAAGTCAGCGATTTTTAAATTCCATTCTGGTTACTATTAATAGATTTTAGAACGAAATATGTTGTGAATATTTTTGCTCGTTGTTGTCTTTTCTGCTGTTTTATTGGTGTTCCTTAATTGTTTCCCAAGTAGAACTTGGTATTAATTTGTCATTTTTTAAATGAATTATATTGTTTGTGTTTTGGTTTGTTGTAGCCAAGATGGCATGTTTTGCTTTGAATCGGGGTGTGCTGGTTTTCTCTTAAAATGATTTGTACCAAGTGCGTCACATGATGATACATTCTCTGAGCGTAGAGTTGTACGCCAAATGGCTAGCTGGAACTGTAGGTGAATATTGTTATCAAGAAACCCTGTGTACAGTTTTTATTATATATATACATAGATATATATTTAGTTGCCCACCTAGTAGAGTGGTATGATGTAGTAATGGTGAAGGATTTAATGTAGATTGGATTTGATGGACTTTGTTATAGAGATGTAGGGCAAACGCAACTGTGGTGGGGAAGATGAGACCGAGAAAAACCTCCCGATGTGGTAGGTTTGAAGTGGTAAGTTGAATCAATCAGCTGGGCCTGCTGAACTTTGAGCACAACTTTAGATCGGAGCTACTTGATATTTTTGCCATGCCAACTTTATGATCAGGTCCTATCAGACATGATTAGGTAGGCCGACAGGTACTTTATCTGCAAGTCACAAAACTTTTTTAAGGGTTCCCCTCACTCTATGAAATATTACAGCAACTGCGGTAAACATGCACTTATCATTACATGGCATTGGACTGAAGAATGAGGGCCCAGCTGTTGCTGGATTGATAACAACGACTACAACAACATTTTGGGTTCCATGTTGCTTAAAAATAAGATAGGATCTTTTCAGTATTATTGTTGTTCTCTTGGAAAATATACTTCAGCTCCTGTCAGTGGCAGAAAAGCACTGACTAGTTGAGCTGCACAAGCAGAAATCATTTGTTCTTTCGGTTGTTAACACAAAAAGTGGTGTCGGAAAAATGGTTAACATGGGCGCCTGGAAAAGGGTGTCCTGTCGGGAAACTTGTTGTGGTCTTTGTCGCCCTTTTGCCGAGCCCGATATGATATCCTTGTCTATAGATCCATTTATATATATATATATATTATATATGTTTATACATGTGAGTATACTCATGTTTATGATGTTAACTATGTCTATTTCAAGACTGTTAGAGGTTAGTTTTTGCACAGACGATCACCGATTTTTTATTGACCCAAGAGTGACAAAATGTAGTTCATTCTGTGTGATATGTAGATATACAGTACGTCGACCAAAACAAAACTCTGGGATTTTCTTTCCTGCTTTTTTTTTTGTTTTTTTGTGTTTTATACTTTTTTAACTGCAATCATGTTGCTTTATGTCAATTTGACCACGTTTGACATTGCTGTGATAAAGGAGAGTAACGAAAGATGACACAAACTGAAATTTACTATACAAGCAAATGAGATATGTTTGTATTCTTGATTTATTTATGAACAAAAAGGAAAAGAATATGAAGCACAAAATAATCAATATATTTTCTTACAAATACATTAATGACAGGAGTGTATATATATATTGAGGCGATGTACGTACAACACCATCTTGGTGTGGTATGGTTTTCTTTTCGTTCCTTTTGATTCTGATGTGTGTTGTATACCTTTGTGATAGATCGACGTGGTCTTCCTGGTGTTCAGACTTTCTGGCCTCCGGGCCTTCCCCTGTGCGTGCTTATGATTGTGTGGTGTGTCGTGCTGTGGAAGACAGGTGGTAAAGCTTGCAGAGTCTTGAGATGGTAAAAGTCGTGCTCCTGCTATACAAGCAGCGCTACTTGTGACAGAGTTGTTGCATTGTTGCAGACTGACTAAGGATTTTTTTGTATGACAAAGAAAGAACTGCAGGTCCAAACATGGAAAATAGAATAAAACGTTGCTCCATGTTTTTTGTCCAAGATAATGATGTAGCTCTTTGTCTAAATTAATGCTCTTTAGCTTTTGTATTTTCCGACTGCTCAAATTTTTAGGACAATGAACACATTACAGTAAAGTTGTGTGAGCACTCTGTCAGAGGGGCTATGCCATTATAGAAAGCACTGTCAGGTTTCAGTAGTGCACCCACCTACATGTTTATTTATACCTTGATATTGGAATTTTTAGGATAACTAGCTAAGGATCTGGATTTATACAAACGTATGCAATGCTCAAAGCTTAATCATCTGCCATGAAATTTTAGCTCTCCCGAAGATGAAAGTTTTTGATACTGGACTTTTGAGTGTCTTTTTTCTTCGTGTTCTTCTTTGGTTTGTCTGTTTGAGTGTGATGCTTTACCACTTCAGCTTTTGCTGGATGGAGTAGCCTACTTAGCCGATGATGCTGATGTAAGACATCTTTTTTTGTTTCTTGCCAAAAGTTTTGTTTATTTCTTCATCATGCTATGGAGAGAACGACTTTCATGATGTTGGCAAATTGTTTTGAAACCTGTTTCTGCTTTTTGACTCCAGAACCAAAGGATATTGAATGGCTACCTTCTGAGCTTTCCATTATTAAATCAAAGTACCAATTCTGTAGAAAGTGAAACATCAACAATAAATTGGTCGCTTTTAAGGATAAGGGGGCTACCTCAAAAAATGCTGTTTTGAGAAAATCAAAGGTAAAGTTTCTGCCCCTTGTTCAGTTTCTTTAAAAGACAAGGAGAGTTTTCTCTATAGCCAAACTAATATATTGACCAATGAAGCCAAACTTCTCCTATAGGTAGGCAATGCCCACTGTTGGTGTAGGTAAAGATTTCTGGAAACCCTCGAAATATGGGTTAGCCCGCTTGTCCTTAAAAGCTACCAATTATTGCTGTTCTAGTAAGATATATCGGCCTCATGCCATTTTCAACGCGATAAAACTATTCAAAAGGTGTGACTCTTCATTAATATCCATATATGTCTCCGATAGGACTGAGTCAAGTCTGTGGTAACCTGTGAAACATTCTCAAAGAACCGAAGTTTCAGAATACCTCATTGTGAATTGGTAGCTTTTAAGCACAAGGGGGCTATCCCGAAAAATGATGCTGTTTGAGAAAATCAAAAATAAAGTTTTTGGATCCTTATTCGGTTTCTTTAAAAGACAAAGAGTTTTCTCTATAACCCAACAAATTTACATACCAGTGAAACCAAACTTCTCTTATACGTAGGGCAATGCCCACTTTTGGTGTAGGTCAACATTTATGGAAACCCCCGAAATCAGGGTTAGCCCGCTTGTCCTTAAAAGTGACCAATTCCAATTTCAGTTGCCAGAACTACAGTTCACCATGATATGTTTATTTTCCAGTCAAGCTAATGATTTATTAAAGAAATTGGATGGCACTTTTCACTTCAAGGAATGTGTGAACATGATAAGGGAAGGATAGATTGATCCCAGTCTTTACTCTCATCTGAAGTACTTCCAACTCTTTACATGAAACTTGGAAGTTTTTATAACAAATTTACATTGGTATAAAAGAAAGAGTGAACACATGACTTTGATTTGGACAGGGTATTTTTTAAATCTTTGTCTTTGTATATTTTGCTTGAAATTTGTAAAGTGCATTTATGTGATGATGAAGTGTGAATAAGACATGAAACATGTGGAAGATGAGATATTGCTGTGGTAGAAGATTGCTTCTGATAGAGCAACAATGGAGAGGTTGTAAGCATGTTGCCAAACCTTCTGTTGATAGAAGTCCTAAAGCTGAATATCGTCAATGTGCTTCTAGAATGGTCAAAGTCAGACTTACACCTGTCAATCAAACTGACAGACTTTGGCATTTTCTATACAATGGCTTACCATCATATTGTTGAACTGTGTAAACATAATGATGAATTTCCAACTGAAGTTTTTCTTTATAATATAATATATCATTCTGACCTGAGTCATGAAAAGACAATCAACTCTAGAAGATGATAAATGACTTACACCGTTGTCATAGCCTTTGACGATATGAAGCTTACTTGGAGAAGAGAAATGGTTTCCCAAAAGGGCTGTGATGAAAGGGGATTTGTAGTCCATGCTATGAGGTGTAGGTCATGTCTTGGGTTTCATGTCTGTCTTTCTCTTTTCCCTCGTTGCCTTCTTTTCCGTAAATCCGGGTGTATATTTGTCTCAATTTCTGTGAATTACTTTTCATTATGATGAATTGCAGTCGGCTTTTTGTCTATTTCCTTATATAATTCTGTTTCTGCTTGCATTTGCAACTTTGTGAAATATGATTGTACCATGACCCAGGGAAGTTCATGTATTTCTGAATGTACATTGTTTGATCTGCTTAATTTCTGTGTACCACCGCTTTCTTGTCATGAGGGTATAGTTTTGCTGTTACTATGGAAAGCCAGTCAGTTGTTGTGGGATGTGCTGGACTGAAAACTTTTGTCTTCACTTTTTCTTCTTTTTGGGTTTTGTAGATTTTATTTTTTTTTAATGTGTCACAACATGGTGGAATCAGGCACTTGACAATTTTTGGGCATATATAGAGTTATTTGTATACTCCTAAAGTCTCCTCATTGCCTTGCTTTTGATTTTAAAAATATCCCTCTATAGAATCTTGAATAGAAGTCGAGATGTTTGCGATTTAAGGAGGTTGGTGTCCGAAATTAAGTGACTTTCAAAACTTTAGTTTCCCTGGAAACTGCACATTTACTTTTTTGGTGCCTTTGATCATCGTTTTTAGCAAAATCCTCATTGAAATGTGTTTTTTAGTTAACGTAAATGGAGTTAAGATTGAAACCAAAAAATGCGACAAACATTGCCCAATCGGTGGGAAAATGTCAGTTTCTTCCATTTTATAATTTTGTTGAGTTGTTTTAGGTTGATTTTTTTTTTTGGGGGGGGGGGGGGGGGGCTTCTTTCTGTTTTTGTCTTTTTTTTTTTTTTTTGGAGGGGGGGGGGGGTTGGTTGATTTCACTTTTTATTCTTCCAGTCCAGCATGCTACAGTTACAGGGATTGTTCAGCCACTTTTGTTCAGCCTTCCTTCTTTTTTGTGTTGTACCTTCCAGCTTATGCTGCCTTTGAATGATGACCCAGCCTTGTGTTTGCCTAGTCTGGGCCCTTGCCGAGTCAGCAGAAAAGGAGGGGGAAAGAGGTTCATGGTTGTCTGACCTTATAAGAAATGAACTTTTGATTTTACCATCAAACTGGCCATTATCGCTATTATCAGAGAGTTTAAGTGAAATGTTGAAATAAGATGACATGCGCTTACTCTACAAAGAGTATAGTCAAGGAGGCCAACCTGTTATTTTTCCACACCCCCACAGAGTTTTCTTTTTGTGCATCGCAGTTTTTTGTGGGGGGGGGGGGGGTTTTGTATTAAAAGGTTTACGATTGTGGGCAAAAGAGATAAGGTTTATTCCCACTTTACTTAGAGAAGATTTTTTTTTTCTGCACTGTCAATATTCTACTGTTGGGATCTAGCTTTGTGTACGATTTGGGTTTACTGTATTATGAGGTAAATAAAAACAGCCTGCTTTCTTATTGATCTGACCTACATCAACAAGAGTGTAAAACATTTACATGTTTGGTTGGTGAATGCTGTAGTGTGGTATCAATCGTCTATCGTCCTCATCTCTCCTCTCTCTGTTCTTTGAATACTGTTTTCTGGAGGCTTCTCTAATCTCTGGTACTTGTATGACCTTAAACTTTTACATGATCAGTGCCTTTCTCACCCTGCACGAGGGTATAGGTCACGGACAAACACCTTCCACTTTTCTCTATCCTGGGCTAGCCTCTTGATGTTATTCCATGTCTTCCCACTTTTCTGTACATCAATTTCTGTGATTCTTCTCCAGGTTCCACGCGGTCTTCCCCTTGATCTCTTACCCTATGGGTTCCAATCCAAAACTTTCTCTGTAATGTAGCCGCCTGACTTCCTGCCAAGCTCAAATGGTCTTATGGATTTGTGAGCACCATAAAACTCTTTACCAAACTCCTACACTAAAACTTGAACTAGCCAAATCTTCGACAACATACATGGATACCCGGAGGTGTCATCTCTGACTCAGAGGTTGACGTGCAGTGATCCTCCATCTTTCCGGGTCGCGAGCTGGCATTACATATTCTGCCATATCCAGGCCAGTCCATGTTCTTATGTTGTCTATCCATGTTATTCTTTGCCTTCCTCTGGCTCTCCTGCCCCACATCTTTCCTTCAAGCACCTCTTGCACAATGGTCTCGTGTCGTTTTTAATTCATTCAGTGCTGAGCTCTCCAGCAGTGAAATTCCTTCATATACTGGGCGGTTTTGTAATGGCAACATTAAATTAGGTCTACCCAGGAATATCATTCAAAGCTGTTCAAGCAGAAAAAATATCTCCTTGACCTTCCCCTTATAATATGCATCATGGTTAGTTCAAATAACCTGGTACGGATTAGATAGAGTAATTCTTTAGATAGTGAGGCAGAATGCGAGAATACTCGTCGCTAGTATGTGGGCGGGGCCCAGGTTTCGCGAGTATTCTCGTCTGTAGCACTGAAGCAGTTAAGTGG